ATTATAAATGAGGGAACAAAGACAAAGGATCTAGGAATGAAGAACAATAGGTAGATTGAAATTGAGAGAATAGAGAAATAAAGTATAGAAATGAAAGATGGGAAGTGAGTTGAAAATGAAGAAATGATGATAGGGGATTTGAAATGAAGGATAAGCGGTGGATTATGAATGATGAAATAAAGACATGGAGTTTGAAAATAAAAGATAAGAGGTAGGTTTGAGAATGAAGGATGGAAGGTGGGTCGAGAATGAGGGAATGAAGACATAAGATTTATAAATGAAGGATAGGAGATGGATTGGAAATGAGGGAATGGAGACATAGGGGTTGGGAATGAGGAATTAAGGGTGGATTGAGAATGAAAAATGGAAATAAGAAGTCTAGAAACGAAAGATGAGGGGTGGATTGAGAGTGAGAAAATTGGAACATGAAATTTGATAATGAAAATCGATGGATATGAGACAAGGAATTTGGAAATACAAGAAAAGGGGTGGATTGAAAATGAGGAAATTGAGACACGAGATCTAATAATGAGAAATAAGAAATATGGAACAAAGAACAAAGATGAGAGAATAAATAAGAACATAGAATATGGAACTAGGAATGAGAAATAGAGATAGGGGATGGACGGAATTAATCATGAGATGACAAAGAGAGGTGTGACTTTAACAAAATTAAGATGTATCAATAATAATTATATACATACATATACATATTTGATTAATCAATTGTTATTTTTTTGATAAATAAATATAATTAACAAATATACCTAATAATTTGTGGTTTTTTATATTTATAGAAGAAATAAACATTAATTTAAAACAACACATATTTTTATGATTTTAATAAGATTTTATAAAAAGACAATTCAAGGATAAAAATCTTCTAGATGCACATGTATAGTTAGTAAAGGGCAACGTTTTTAAGAAAATAATGATATTTTAAATGTAAGTCTATATTTTTAGGTTTATTTTATTAATATTATTATTATTGATTAAAATTGAAAGTTTTTTTAATGGTAAATTTATTTCTATTTATAGAATATATATATATATGTATATATTTCATAATTCATTTTCAATTAATAAAAATTGGAAACTGTTACAAAATTTTGACTTTTATTTAATTCTAATAAATAATTTACATTGATGACCATGAAAAATAAAATAGTTATCTTTAATGACTATCCTTTTTTTTTTCTTTTCCTTTTTTATTTCGCATTTCTAGTATAATATTTTTAAATATCTCATTTTTATTTTATTTTATTTTAGTGAACCATCTTGGAACTTACAAGAAAGATGCACCCTTGTTTTCAGTGACCACTTGTTGTGCAAGAGTGGACAAATGGATATGGACCATGTTTTACTGCATGGCAGTTGTAACAAATTGATAGAATGTTGACCTCCCAAGATTTGGCAATGTTGTATGAACTTGCAACTCACCTTTTGAGCTGCTGCAAGCCATCTGTGAAGAGTAGCATTCTCCTATCTATTCAGTTATTTTTTAGAATACAACAATTATTTTTGTCCTCACCAAGAACAAAAAAAAATTGAAAGAAAACAAAGTTTATGAATTCAATTGTTGAACATTTTATTATTCTGAATCAACAATACTAATTCCAAGAAGCTTATAATAAATTAACTGAATTTTTCAATCCACCCACCTTTTGGCAAAACATATATATATATATATATATATATATGTATATATATATCCATTATGAGCATCAAAAGGATCATGATATGAATCTCTACCTCACCATGTAAAATGGTGAATTGATTTAATAATTCCCTAAATTAAAACCAATGGAATATCTAAAATACTTTATTCTTAGTGTTCATATTAGCAAACTCTCTCTGTTTTTTTTTCGACACATTTTGGGGAAAACATTTGAAATACTTCATGCTTCTGCTGTGTCTTGGCATCACAATTTTAATGACCCATGTGGTATCATTCCTACAAAGTTAACAAAATCATAGTTCAAACTTCTAATGTTTGCCTTGAAATTGCAAATCTTTTTGAGAATTACTAATCAAAAAAATCAAGGTATTTTTATTTGACTTGTGGTGTCATGGTAGCACATGTCCTACCATCCATCAGCACATGTTTTTGACTCCAAGCTTACAAGCCTATTAATTGGGTTGTATATGATTCAAACAGTTGATTCTACATTAAAGAAGGCAACTTGCAAAAGTACTTTTATTGTTGCAATATAATAAGAATAGTCTATTTTAAGTGTTGCGTACCGATTCTATTGATCCTCATAACTGCACAAATATTTAATTGTGATGGTTTCAAGCCTCTAAACAATAAGTTCAAATGTTAGATCAAAAGATTGAGAAAACTTTGTGTTTATGCGAATATTTGTCTATGTATGCAGCAATAGCTGCCATAGTACCTCTCAGAATGCTAAATATGTACTCTGAATCAAGTAAGATCAAGTATTTTTGTATTGTAACAAATTTATTATCATTTTATTTACTTATTTTATTTTGAAAATTACATTTCTTAATTAGAAAGACCTACTTTTCCTCCATAAATGTTAAATATTGTGAATATTTCAAAATGTCTTAAAAAGTCAAAAGGAATGTGAGAAAATTTGTCAAATGAGAAAATATGAAGAAGAAGAAAAAGGAAAATTAGAGAATATTTCAGGAAAGTGATAGCAAACATCAAACTTGACTTGTTTCTCAAACTGGTTTACAATCATTCTAACAGAGAAACCTTAAGATAATAAGATTAAATTCAATGCTGGAATGTTTTTTTTAATATAATATTCACTTTCTTAAGTTTAACACAATAAATTATTTTGTTGGATGTATTTTATTCCTTTTTAATAAATTGAAGCAACAATTGGTCAAATCCCATTCAATGCACCTCAGGTGAGTTTGAACTCAACACATTACAATTGATTCTTTTATAAAGAAAACTTAATTCTGCAGATAGTGTGCACAAAGAACTCGTTTTTGTAATAATAATTATCACAATAACAATAATAAAACTCATTCTTTTATACAAAAATCAGAGAGGATCAAGAGGTTTTGGGTGTGGGATTTAGAGTATGTGAACTACCAATACAATATTTGTTTTTACATCCCAAGAAGAATGTGGTCCTAAGATCTTATAAGATCTCATATTCTTATTCCATGCATTAGGAAGAGAGAGGAGATCTTAGAAAAAACCAGTAACTTTAGGAGTCAAACTTTTTTAGAGTTTAATCATAGTAATCAACATAAGAAAATGGTGGTGGTAGAGGTATTATAATAATCAAAATAGTAGAGATAATGGGATTAAGGATTTAGGATTTAAGTCTCTATCACCACCATTTTGATTATTACAACTACAATTATATCCTTCAAAAATATACATGTTATTTCATCTAGATATAGAATCTCCTTTTAGGCAATACTAACATATTTTTCCTTGCTTCTAATTCTTCTTTGCATAATTGTAGAAATCAAATGCCTTTCATGTTCAAACTACCTCTATGTATAAAAAAACAAGGGGAGAGTGAGTGGTGATTCAAAGTTTAGAGTTTTTGAACTAGAATCTTTATTACCATCATACTTTTAGAAATTATTCTTAAAAATATTGAAAAAATATCATATAAATTCTTCAAATAATCTAAAATATTAAAAAAAAACCCTTGTATTCTTGATAATTACAAATCTATCTCTCATTTTTGTGATAATAGCAAATCTACCTTCAAATGTAATAAGATATTACTATTCTTTCTTTTTTAGGTGCATTTGGGGCTCAAATTGAGAGTAATGCAGATTTTGGCATGGCCCTTTTTGGCACATTCTCTTTTGTCAATGTTTGCATGCCTAGCAGATTTTTTTAAGCTACTTTTTGGTTTTGATATAATTTCAAGGGATCTGATTCATTAGGGAAATTATTTTTGGTTGTGTTTCACTTAAAGTGAAGGTAATATATGCAATTTGTAATTTTGGATTAGCTCTTGTTGTGCAAAGATAGTTAAGAAGTCTAAAGATAGTTAAGACAATCAATGAGCATGTTGTCTATAAACATGTCTTTTATCAAAGGCATTGTTCAATGAATTTTTTAAATATTGTTGTACCTCGCAGGCATAAACTTCTATACTATTGTGTGATAGCATTGATTTATAGAAATTATAGTTATAGATTTGATGTATCAATAATAACATCAAGTATGCGTTGATATATGTGGTGATGATAATACTATTTGTTCTTCTATAAATGCAAGTGCTTTGCTACAAGCTGCTTCTTTCAACTGACACCAACATTCTTAGGGAATCTCAACACTAGAACAATTCTATGTGCATCCATCCCTCAAAGAAGATAATGGTGTAGGATCAAGAGAGGGCAACGAAGCCATTGTTGCTTATGTGGGATTAGTATAGGCTGTGAAATTCAACCTTTAATACAACCAAGCTTGCTGTGATGAATCAATGAAGGATGTTTACCATAGAGATGAAATTCTTAATCCTTATTGCTAGTAATTACTTTTGATACAATCTCACAATATGCAAGTTATTTTGCTATGACCTACCTTGAATCATTTATTTCAATTTTCCATCCATCATGGCTTAATCGACATGGCATATAGACATTGACAAAAAAAAAAAAGGAGGAAAAAAGTGCCAAAAAAGTGCCGAAAAGGGCAATGCCAAAATTTGAGCGACTCATCGTTTAGGCCCCAAATGTATCCAATAAAAGAAGGATAGTGATACCTTATCACACTTGAGGGTAGATTTGCTATTCTCACAAAAAATGATAATTAAATTTGCTATTATCAAGGATACAAGGGTATTTTTAAAATTTCAGCATATTTGAAGGGTATATATGATATTTTCCTTCATAACATTTAGAAAATACTGAACCATGAAAAAATTATGAAAATTTGCATGGAATGTCCATCAAAGTTGCACCAATTCTTAGGCAAGTTTTTGCAAAAGTGTACTGCCATGCAATCTGCACCCTGACACAATTCCATGTGACTTGTCAAACATATTTTCGGGGTGGTTTCTCTGTTGCAGTAGCTTCAATTGTAGCACCAAGTTGTGATTGACTGTAATGTGTCCAATGCTACAGACCTAGCAACAAAACCAAGATTATTCACAGGTGTCTGTTTACCAAGTCAAATCAAATAACCAATGGAGAAACAACATTCATGATTTTTTAATTTCTCTTTTTAATTTTTTCCTTTTCCAGGTGCTCCCTTGCTTGACATGTTCAGTAGCTACTCAGAGATTAGCACTTGGCAGGGGGTGAGAAAGCTCTCCTGCAGCATTCCTTCCATTCATGACTTATCCAGTTGGTGATCATAAAAAGTTAAAAGCTGGCTCACTCAGATGCCAACTAATTATGCCCACCTGCTATAGCGTGTGCAAGTCTGCATGCAGGTTTTGACCAGCAAGGCATTGGATTGTGGGGGTGGAAAAGCAGCTGATTATCACAAATGAGCACCCAAAAAGTAAAAAGAAAATAAAGAATAGATATGAGAAAAAACAACCACTTGCTTACCCAGGCTTTCGGATATTCTACTAAATGTTTTCCTGATCATCAATGGTCACCTCAAAAAGTGCAATATGCAGTTCAAGCTTCAGTCTGTTGCCCAGTAGCCTTTGTAATGAAGTTAATTGCTGCTAAGCAATCTTTGAGCTCACCCACAGGTACTTATCTGGACAAGTTGGCTCTCCTGCAGGCATGTGACTTGGTCAGCAAAACTCTGGTCAACTTCTCTCTGCAATAACAACCAACTTGATCTTTAGATTCCTCATGGATATAGTGCAGTACACAGCAGGTGTCAGGAGCACAATCTTTTGCCTTCATCTATTCCAACTTACCAGTAGGGATGGTACAAAAGCATATTCATATCTAGTGATATCAATGGATCTCATACTTGGCTGCTTGTGTCATTCTGAGCACTGACAAACAAATGCTCTCATTCACCATCTGCAGCATAAACAGTGGAGAGAACTGTGCATGAAGGGGCATCCTTGGGTTGTCCACTAATGGTTCAATGCCACAAGGTTGCATTGTAGAAAGAGATGAAAACATAGAGAATTAGAATAGTGGCAACTACCTTAATCAACAAACTTGGCATCATTGGACACTGACTACACAGCCACAACAGTCTTCAAAAATTCACTTCACTGAAAAACTATCAAGTTTCTTGCCCATGCCTGTGTTATTTCAACTATGCAGCAAGTCTTGGCAAACATGTGAACATGAGCATGGCCAGTATGCAAAGTAGAGGCAAGTTCTACTGCTCACAAATTTGCTGTATTAATCCTTCACTCATCTCATTCCAGCTTGTTAAATTGTAGTATCTGAACCATGAAGAACAAGCTTGGTGTCCTCTATGCTACTGCTCTTGGCATACTCATCTGTGCACTGCCTGCATGTAAATCTGCCTACATCCAGTTATTCAGAGCTTGTTAGTGAACCTCTTCACAAAATCCATAGTTCCATTCCTTTACCTGCACTGAGGGTGCTTGCATAACTTTTTCCATCTGAAACAAAACCTTCACTTTACATCTGATGGAAAAGATACAAAATTTTGTACCCCACACCATGCTTTACTGCTCCACTGGTGATCACACTCAATCTCAATAAATCTCTATGTTTCATTCAGCAAACAACTAAGTGGACATCACAAACACTGTCAAACATGGCACATATGCCAATTAATAAGTTGGTCATACACAAGCCTGATTGAAAACCATCATCTCTAATGAGAGCATGACTTCCCTAGTCCCATTTTGTAGCTATTGTACTGAAGCAGTCTGCTTAATACTTGACAAACTTATCTTGTGTAGAAGCCCAATTGTATGAAGAACTTAGTTGAAAGACTTCATTACATCTTCTACAATGTTGTTCCCAGTAGAACCTCTGATTGTAATGGTCCAACAAACAGCAGTTATTTTCCACCAGTTTGTCAAATGCGTTGCATTTATACATCTAGCCATATCTAATGTTTAGTTGAGATTCTTACTGTTTGGTTAGCCACACACCAACTCTGCTCCACCCTAAGCTTCAAGATGCAACAATGAACCTGGTTTACTTTTGCCAGATAATTTCCACTCCAAGCACTTTTGCAGGAGTTCTATGTAAGTGGAATAGTCTACAGCAATGCCTTGATATGCTATTTTCTGAAAAGGGTCAATCGTTTTACCTGGTTGCACTTGCATTTGCACGTCAATAAATTGGTGTAGTTTGCATCTACTCAGTATTTCAGTGGTGAAGGAACACTTTTACTACTGCTAGTACTTGAAGAATGCAATGGGAAACTAGTGCAATGTGAAAGCAATGGAGTCCTAGAACTTGAAGCAAACAATCAAGCAACTAGTACATCACAATCATCACAAGAACCTAATTTATGCAGAGGTTGTCCTCATGTGGAGATATAATATTTAGATAGTTTGTGTAATTTCCATACAAGAATCAACATGTAAGTCTCTGTGGAGTCCATGGTTTATTTGCCCGTAATGATTCCTCAGCGACTTTATTTTGGGTTCAAAAAGTCCATTGTTTTATGACTCACAATATAAATTTCAAACCAACGTATGCTCCTTCAGATTTGACCACATCGAATGTTTTACCACTACGTAACCAGAACAAGAAGAAGAAGATGAAAGAAAGAAAGAAATGAAAAATAGAGATGAAGATGGTAAATGAGAAAGCCAGTATAGTAAAGAAAGTGTCAGGAAATGGTGGTTCCTACTTGACATTCATCAGTGTACTTGAATCATGAATTAATTCAAATACATACGTTTTTCCTTCATCCTTCATGAGACAGAGGCGGTAAAATACACTCCTACGTGAGCTAATTCACAATGCATCACACATGTTTGTGTAATGTTACACATACAAGAAGAATAAGTTATATTACTGCATCATGTACTGAAAAATGATGGCTCTGCAGCATATCCAAAGGACTCGCCAAATCCAAGCTTCAACAGCCAATACGACATTCTTCTCTGGTCCAGAAAATAAACTAGAGTCCTGTGGTTAAGATTCTGCACTCTACCTGATGAGTTTTGTTGATACGTGAGCTGGAAGAAGATAATTATGATATCCACCCCTTATTTCTTCAATAAAACACAACCCAATTGAGGCTACGTAACTTTCAAATTAAATCATCGGCCCCCGGAAAATACGTATAACATTCACACAGTTCACATCCAGTTCTGTGAAAGAACAGAAGAATACCAGGACGCAAGCTCTGAGCCGCACTGCAAAGCTCCCCTCCCCCCCTCCCCGCACCTGCTTCAAAGTTTCAACAAATCAGAGTCATCCCGAAAAATACTACAAAATTTAGGGATGAAGAATCTTAATACTCAAGCGGATGCTACATCACTGATATTTTGCAAACTATCAAGAGTAATATTTGTTTACACAGGCCAAGTCTGCGCTGGCTGTTGGTTCAGGGAACTTGCCTCCTCAATAGCAACACTTGCAGCGAACCAGGTTGCAACGAGGTGTGACGATTGATAGCCGAAAACTACGAACCACCTCTTCTTTCTTTCACTGAAACTTCACAAGTCCTTGTTGGGTATTTTGAAAACGAGTGAAAAGAGGCCGCAGTTGTTACCGCCAAGTCATTTTCCGATGTTACCTGCAGGTTTGTTGAAAAAACTGCCACGTAGTAGAAGAAAAGTTCCAATCTAGCAAACCCAACAGATGGCAGTCCCTCACGCACTCTCGAAGTTTGTGCTTCAACGTTGTCTTCCGTCTTCGCAGTCGCCAGACAATTCAATGCACTCCAATGCTTCTGTTCTAGCTCATCACTTCAACTAGTCTCTCATTGCAATTTCATGCTGCTCTTGCTTTGCATCTCACGGACTCTTTAACGCATCTCATCAGTCCTCTTTGCCGAGGAATTCTTCAACCACGAAGTTGGTGGGTTGGTGTTGTGAGTTGGGTCTAGGAAATCTTCGCTGATGATCAAGTTGAAGGTAGTATCATTAACTTTTGTTGTGGGTTTTGATCCCGTTGTGAAAGTAGAGAGATTGTCGATTTTCCGATCCTGGTAAAAGTCATGTTGCTTGAATTTTCTCTGGTGGCCTTTTGATTAGATCTTTCAAAAGACGTGGTCCTCGCATGGTAGCATGGCGCGTGGTGAGATTCGGGTTGTTATGGTGCTGTTTTCTGAGTCATTTGTTGCTGAAGAGTGTTTTCGGTCATTCTCTTAGTAGCTCTTTTTCTTTGTGTTACGTCTGAATCATTGCATTGTGAGCCGGGGGGGGCGTATCGTGATTTTTGAGCAGATGAGTTTGGTTCGGATTGTTATTAGATGCCGTCCATCTCATTGATAAAATGGCTTGTACATTTCTGTACTTGTGGGTTTGTATTTTGGCAGTTTTCTGAGTTCGGCGGAATCTAGGAGATGATATCGCACATAAGTACATGTAGTATGAATTCTACTATGTGAAGGAGCTTCTGTAAAGCGTTCAAAATTTGTGGCAGCTTTTATTTGTAGTCGAGGAGTGAGCAAGGAACCATGGCGTCCATGCTATACCGACAGGTAATGATCCCTGTCATTGTTCTTTCAAAATCCTAAATCAGGAAAAGAACTTTCGTGTATTTAAATACCAATGCGATTCTTTGATGTAAACAGATGTGCACATGGTGCGGTAAATCCATGCTTGAAGTGCCTCGGTTGTTAGAATTCGGTGGAATACTGCACATTAACATCGCACCATTTTAAACTTTTGCATCGATGACCTGAAAGGCATAGGGGAGCTGAATTTTAAATCTAAGAAATACTACAAAAACCCTAAATGCTTCTGTTAATAAGGGTCACGGGAACGTAGCAAACCTGCTGTTCTAAAACTGGCCCCAAAAATTCTAGCTGTTGAAAAATTCTTTGCTATGTTCCCTGGCGTGCAAATTCAAAGCTACGATATGTCTATTTAAGTAAATCATAGCAGACGTGGTCTACTATCTTCAAATTCTGATCCTCGTCACACAAGTAAAGATATGAGCTTCACAATGAATCTGACCTTAACTGCTAACATGCAGGCTACTTTCTAAGTTAGTATTAGCGTTAATGTGAACGTCAGTGCTATGTCTGTCAAGATTGAGGTGGTGGAAAGTGATTGTTATGAAGATGTGCGGTTGAGGAAATACCTGATTTTTCCGATTAGTTCTTACTTTTTAGAATAGTATCACCAGAACTCACTGTTAGACATGTGTCACAAAATTCTTCAGTCTCACCTAGAATTTTAAATTGTTAAGGTTTCTGATTAAGCTCGGATTCAACTTCTACCCTCATGCTTGTTTTTGCTGTGAGTGTGACGTTCATGTCGAGGTATTAACACTCCGTGTATTAATACTCTGTGACACAGGAGAGCGAGGTTGCAAACGAGTTGAAACTGGCTTTGGAGGAGGCATGTCTGGAGCTCGGAGTTTCCCTGTCTAATGCCTTTTCGCCTTCTGTCGGTTTTCCTTCCCTCATACTCAAGAGTTCCTTCCTTTGCATATATGTCTACTTCTGCATCTAGCATTTGATGGTTCGAAATTGTATACGAATTAGGAATATTGATACTGTTTGTGAGACTCTTGAAAATTTAGCACTCAAAACTCTCAATGGTTAGTGATGCTTCTGACTTTTCAAGGTTACGTGAAAGGAAAACATTATTCTATGGCAGCATTTCATTTTAAATTATAGGAATTACTAATGAGTCATTGCTATGTGCGTGTCAATATTGGTGCAGGCATTGTGGCTGTTTGATGCTAACAATGGAGATCCGGCTTTGGCAGATTTGGCATCTTGGGTCAATATCACTCGACGTCGCAGTTATCGACCATCTCCTCTTAATAAATATCGCAAATATTCACTACCATCACTGGACGATGCAGAAACCTCTGAAAAGGAACTTGAGGAGAGAGTTGAAGACGACAAAGTTGAAATCCTTTCAGATGGTGAAGGGAGTGACATCCAAGCACTCCCGGAAATGAGATTGAAAGAGAGATTAAGCAACGCTGCAGAGCTTGATGTGTTGGCTAAGGATCTCGATTGGAGCAATCTGTTGTCTGTGCATAGAACTGAGCATGCACAATCTGAAGATGATGAAAGTTCAGATGGTCGAGACTCCATTGGTTCTATAGAGGTGTGCATTTGACATCATTTTTCTCTAAGATCTCGTTTGAAGTCTATACTTGACAGTGAGAGTCTTTTGAATTTCTACAAGACAATGTCCGTCAAGTGTCAATGGTATAGAAATGTGGTACATGCCATATGTGTTAATTGGGAGCCATTGTTTTTTTTAATACAACTATACCGTGCTTACGAGCTACTCAAGTTTGACGCAGAAAGTGTCCTAATGGGTAAACATCTGATGAATGGAGACATGTCTAGCTTTAGTAGAGAAGATTTCTTGATGGATTCATGTGTCACCCAATATTCCATGATTTTTGGTTAGTGAAAACATGATTCTTAAACTGCTTCAATGCTGATGTAACTCTTTTACTTTCCAGATGACGGTGAATTCCGGAGGAGTGGTATATTTTGCGATGTTTCGAAAAAACCACGTGGAATCTGGAAATGATGATTCTGAAGAAAATGAAAATATCAAGTATGAAGCTGCAGCAGTTTTCAAGTTCGGATCCTCTAGATTAGCCACTCAATCTGAGCGTTTGGGCATCGAAATCGCTCGTCACTTGGGTGTAGCGACACCACAGGTTATAAGACATGCCATTGACCTTGCTGATTTTTTGCCATCACAGTCATTTTGTACTTGAATTATTGAGTTTATTTATATTCATAAGCAGAAGTTAGAACGCTATCTTCGTGGATAGATGGCGGCTTTAATCTGTTTGCGAGCTTACGTTATTGATGCAGATGAGTAGATTGTGATGATGATCATTGTGGCACTCTTGTCGTTGCATTTATTGTACAGGCAAGAGTGATCCACAACAACTCATCAGAGTGGATGCAAATTCAAGATGCTGTGGTAGCCGTGAGAGAGACAGATAAAGCAAATGAGAATGTGATTGGCCTTCAGACCTGTGAGGAGCTACTCGAAGCTTTGCACCTCAGCCGTTGCATGCTTATTATGGGGTAAATTTCTCAACTAATTCCCTTTGCTGTGCGATGATATGCGTCGTTTTAACTCCCTAATTTTTATGATAAGATAGGGCAGGAACAAGTCGACTCTAGTAGAAAAGGTGGACTTGAAACAGAAACAACAGTGACCATATTATTGTATAGTTGAAAGGTTGAACTTACTGATAGTGTATTAACTTGGGCCTTTTGCACTTTCTCGAAGGGTATATTATTTAAATTTCTATGACGCACAAGATTCGAAGTTTATGCTTTGGGAGAGTCGGTTATGCGTTCATGCAGCACTTTTTGTGCATCATTTTGCTTATGTTCAGATATCGATACATGCAGCTACATCCGTGGGAAGCCGCTAGCGGAGAGCAAGCAAGCCTTTGCTTCAGAGAAAGTAGCTGTGAAAACTGCTATTGCGCTTGGTCGGACGCTTGTTCTAGATATGGTTCTCAGAAACGAAGACCGCTTGGTTTGCCATACATTAGGCTGGCGAGGAAACTCTGGTAACCTACTTGTCACTGAGGAAGTACCTCATGGGCTTGACCAACTGGGTCCACCTGTACTCGATTCAAAGCAAATTTCGGGAGGGTCTGGGTTCACTAGGCAGAGACGGACGCAGTCTTTAGCGGCATTGTCTACGTCATCCAATACCGACATACTGGTCCAGCTGCCGAAGATGCACCGATCACCTTCGCCCGAGCTTAGCCACGCAGGAACTGCGCAGTCCCATGCATTACAAGTCAGTTTTTTCCTGTTTTCCTGCTCTCCATGTGAATCGGATATTAGTCTTTCTATGGCAGTATGGGTTCCGTTTGCAAATGCACTAGATGCCACTATTCGTTTCATCATACTCGAGTGTAAGCAGTTCTCGAATTCGCAGTTCCCTTTCTTACAACTATGGGTTTCACTAACTACTTTACTGATTAAATGTCCACTCAGAACTTGCTGGTTCCAGAAGAGTCTGAGGCCCTGGCATCAAAGATGGGCGAGTTGAAGATGAAAGATAAAAAGGAGGAGCCTTCATGTTTGCTTGTAGCAATTGATTCCGGGGTTTCCCGCCGACCCCCAGGAATGAAGATTGAACATGACCGCCGGATTTACTCGAAGACGATTGAACTGCTTCTCCATGATGAGGAGACAGCTGGAAACCTCTTGAGAGAAATCAGTTTTGGGTACTTGGGACCACCATTCGAGAATGAAAAAACAAGTGAAGCAGACTTTTCTGGTGAACCTGCCACTCCACCAGAAGAGTTTGACCATCATAAGATCATTAGAGCATTTCAGAGAGGAGTAATAGTAGGCATTCGTGACATGCAAGTCCTGCGGATGTTCATGGTCAAACTATTCCGCACTCTCGACCAACTTCTACGGGAGTTCATGGCTTACGTATCTAATCTACCAGACGAAGAGGGTTCGAAAACTGAGACTGAGGTGACAAAACCACCAGTTGAAGAAACTCAACCTTCTGATGTGAAAGTTTCACCAGAGAATGGTACTCCACAGAAACCATCTGGCTCTACTTCGATGATGAGTTCTGAACAACAAGAATCTCCTCAAAGTTTACCAAGTGGCCCTGTGTCGACTCCAATCCGAGAAAAGTCACCTCGAGTTTCAATGCTGAAAATTAGTCCTTCCTCTCTTCGAAAGTCACCTGTGTCGTCTCCAAGATTGAACTCACCGAACAAAATATCGCCAGTTCGTGAAAGCTGGCATAAAAAGGGAAGCCCCGGTCGCATGACTTTTAAGCTTAAAGATGTCAGCAAAACTGCCAAGGTTTGTATTCTTTGCTCGCTCTAGAAAAGAGTTGAGGTTTATGATGACAGCATGAATCATTTCAACTTTCGTATCCTTCTATTCATCTCATGCATCCTTCTGTCCAGCGATTTCCACTCATTTTCCTCTTGTATTGTCCAGATTGATTGTGAGTGGAGCAAAAAACTAGAATGGTGGGACGAGAAAATGCGGAGTGAAGGACAAAAGCTATGCAAAGATCACAAATTTACTACTGGATTCTTGGAAGGTGGTGGCTCCCATAGTGTGGTCGATAGTTACGAGCTCAAGGTAAGACTTGGACACGGTCTGGGTGGTTCTTCACATCGCTTGTTCTAGTCCACTCTGGCAATAAGCTGCTTCTAAATTCCTTGAATTTACTCCAATTGTTATCCGTAGCACTTCATAACTGCCACCTTTGAGGATTTTATTTTGAATTGGGACTTGTTTCCCATGTGAGCTTGGTGATGTTGCAATATGTATGCAATCAAGAATGGCTTTGTAATATTTTGCAGGTGAGGTTGGAACACATCTTGGAGCGGATGATAATGATTTCAAACGGGTCGGATACAGAGAAACCATCATGTGTTCTATCTCCCTCCTTGTACATAGGCAGTGCCCTCGCCGCCAGGTCCTTAATCCTCCCAATTCTTAATTCAAGGATGTTTTAAAAGTCCCGTTGTTTCTTCACGGGAATTCCTAACCTTAAAACAAGTTCCTCACTTCACACACGTTACACTGACAAATGAACATTTTACCGGCCATCCAGCCTTAACCTTTCTACGTCTCAATTATTGTATTGGTATGTTCCAACTTGAATAACCAACTTGCAAGGTGAGGGTATAGTATGATATTATAAATTTTAATCGTGAGTACGGTCGGTGTAATTCCCGTTCCAGTGGGTCTCAAATCAAAGTCTGAACATACTGCTCAATGACATAAAGATATCAACGTGTAAGAATGTTAATAACCCTCCCTCACTATGAGCATCATGAATTTCTTCAAAAGCCACCGGTCTTGGATCACAGGTCAGTAAACACGCTACAACACTTGCGCATAACTCACGTCTTGTGCCTTTGCCCCTCCGACCTCGAGGATGCGAATGTGGGCGACTTCCCGGAGTTGTTCACCTACAAACATCTTGAGGTACGTATTTGTATTTTTTTTCACCAATTTTGTGCAGCTTTTCACTTTTTTTTTATCACGTGGTTCATTAATTTGCTTGTCCAATCTTAGACTGAAATGATAGCTGCGAAGGATCTGAAGAAGGAAATGGTTGGAATTGGCGAGGTGCAGGTGAAAGATGTAGAAGATGAAAACATAGCGGCTCATTTTGAAGAAGCATGTTCTTTCATAGCGCAAGCTGAGGGAGATAATAAGACAATTTTAGTGCACTGCTTTGAGGGCAAGAGCCGGAGTGCCACTATGGTGTTGGCCTATCTTATGCTTCGCAAGTAAGTCGAATTTAACCAACACTAACAGCTAATTTTTTTCCCAATAAGTCAGAACTATGAGCTAGCTAGAAGGTCAGACCATATAGAAGGACGACGCTCTGATGTCATGTTTCGGTGGGTGTTTGATTATGGTCTTTGAAGAGGACACACACTTGCACAAGCATGGTCGATATTGAAAACTGCTCACCGACGTACCCAACCGAACGATGGTTTCATGAAGGTACAGCTCCTCCTCCGCTTCTCTATTTCATTTCCTCAGTAATTCCACCGATGACTCTGAAGAAATGTGCGGAACATTGACGGGACTGTGGGTGGGTAGCAGACTTTGGTGGAGCTGGATAAAAAATTACACGGAAAAGCATCAATGACCTTCTTAAAGCGTCGACCAGCGGGCCAAAGGTGCCCCATATGTGACAAGGTCGCAGGGTTTAGCATCGTTGCCTTGCAGCAGCACATCAGGAGGGTTCACCCTGGCATCCCACTTCATTCGCAGTCTGCACCTATTGTTTAGTCTACCCTCTCCTGCTTCATCCTCGTGATGAGTTACACTTCGTACTTGTAGAGTATGGAAATGATCAGTTACACTTTTTACTTGTATAGTATGAAAATTATTTTAACTACCCAGTCCAACACTTATGTTGAAATGGGTGGTTGACACGAATATGGGACTTGTACACATATACAGGGATATTAGGTTGGCTCAGGCTACTCGTCAATATTCTGTTTAGAAGAAATATTATCATTTTTGAGGATGTCTGTTTTGTGTAACAATAACTACCTGTGATAGAAAGTAGATTTCATGAAGTGGGCCATTTTTTTTGGAAATTGTGTTACGATGAACACTACTAATCACCTGGCTTTTACAGCTCTCCACTATCGTACACACGAAGTTCCAATGCTTCATGAAAATTCCTCATTGCAAAGCACCGATGGATACATGCAATCTCTAGGTTACTTGCAAGCACGCTCAAGCGACCAGTTTATTGTTAGACTCAAGTATCAACTTGCCACTAAATGTGTCAGTGTTGTCAACAACAGCCTGGATTCCTTGTGGATGGGGCAGATCTACTGCTTTGGTGCCAATTAGTTCTTCAACAGCAGGGATAGCCATTATTGTCTCGTCTATATATAGCATGTCAATATCTCCCTCGGTCACCTTCTCTATTATTTTTCTCTTTAGATGTTTATCACTTACAATGTCCACAATTTCTCTTTGCAGATTTTCTATCTTGAAACTTGTTGCATTGTCCCTTATATTTGCTTCAAAAGTGTCTTCAAGTTCCTCCACCAATATTGGTGACTTGAGGTGTATTATAGCTTCTACTAGTGCAAGGTCATCATCAATAGCTACATTTGTGGAATGTTCTATACTTTTAGTTACCAAATTATGTAATCAAACACATTGTTAAAATATTCAATAGTTTTGAGTTTTAAGATTGAGTTCAATACAAGACCTATTTCATCCCTTCTAATTTTGAGATCTATTCTTTTTACCAAATCTATTGAAATTATGTCTAGGATGGCGAGAGCTAGTTTCAACACATTTGGTGTTTCTATCTTTTGCTGTTGAACTCAATTGGAGCAACCTCAAATTTATTACATAGTATATTATTGAATTGCATACTTTCTTTTGATTATATGTTTGAAGTATTGATGTACTTTGTTGCAACTAGTATCGTAAATAAGTCAAATGATTGATAAAAGTGAATTCATACCATGAAAGTATTCTATGCTATCAACATCAATGTTTTTGACCTTGATAGACATCTTATCATAAATTTTGGTGACTTCCATTACAAAAAATTGATTATCTAGCATAAAATCATTCAAGATTTTGAGATGCTTTTAGGTTTTGAATCTCTATTCTTCATCCTCATATTCTCTCTTAGACTACAAGAAGACACCATTGAAGCTTGTAAGATTTGAGTTTTGATGAATAGCCCCAAATTGGCAACTAGAATTAAATAGTTGTTTATACTTGATTTTCTTTAAAGATTTACTTTGGTCTAAATTTAGGATGCAAAAATATAAATCCACATTTAAGAAATGCATTGAGAGAAAAATTAGGGAAATAAAAATTTGGAGCTAGAAAGTTATGTGATGAATAGAAATGTGTGGTTTGAACAATAGATAAAGATATGAATTGAAGAAATGAAAGCTTAGTGAACCTATTACACATGATGTAAAATCACAATTTTTTCTTCAAACACATGATTTGATTTTGAATGGCACCTCTATGTTTGTTACCTTGGCATGATTTCATTTCATTATCTTTGGCATTGATATTATTGATTTCCTTCTTTCCCTTTAGTGAAAGCATTTCTAACTCCTCAAAGCAAGATTATTCTCTAGGATTAGTATTCAACTTTGTTGGCATTTTTAGACTTTCAATTAAAGTTGTTGTCATGTAGTAATATGATTATATGGTGAAAAATAAAAATATGAATGTTGATGTTATTATAGAAGTTCTTGGCAAAAAGATATTGCAGAAAAACAAAGATAAATAATAGGAAGATAGTAAAAACTTTAATGTTAATATTATCTTTTGTAAAAGGGACCTCTATTTATTTTGTAGAGGCATAGATGCCTCAAATCAAAATAAATAAGATAAGTAAATAATATAGAAATCTTTAGAAGAGAATTTTAAATAGGTTTAAGTAAAAATTATCTCAAATTTTTAAAAATTGATACTTAGAGAAGATTGGTTGTGAACTTGGATCAAAATCAAATCCCAAGACACAAAACTATGTATCTATGGCAATTCTAAGATTTTTTTATCAATAAAAGAATATGATTTGAGAAAAAACTTAAGAAGAGATTTTTGGGAGTTAGTTTTATGATATTTGGATTAATATTGAAGTTTTAAGGAATTTTCAAAATTAATGATGTATTTAGTAGGTTTAGATTTTGAGAAATAAAAATAAGTTTACAAATTTGAGGATTTTGTGAATTTTATAGCATATTTATAAGTATAAAGTTGGCAAATTGCTATTGTACTTATTATAAATGTATGTGAGAAATTTAAGGTCAATTGAGTACTTAGATTGAAGACAATGAGAGTTTTTGTGGATTATGATCTCAGATAATTGAAATTTAGGGTCAATGAGGGATTTTACAATCTAATAATATTTGCTGGTTTGATTGAAGCAAAAATTGGTGAGATCAATTAAAAATTAAATACCTATATGCAATCCAATTTGTGATAAAATTTAATGGTTCAACAAGGAGAAATCTTTGTTGAAAGATCAACGTTTAAGTTGGAGAAAGAAGGCAACCAATAACCAAGTGGTTTTGCAAGGTTTTCTTGCGATTTGTAAGTCAGATTCTTTTCAAATTTTGTGTGCTTATTAATTTCTTGTTAGTTGAAATTTGAATGAAATTTTAATAAAGATCTATGATTCAATTAATATTTATAGAGGTTTCAAATAGCTATTGTAATTGATTAAAATTTAATTGGGATTTTCTTAGATTTGGTTTAGAATTTAGCATTTTGTTAGAATTTTGTTAGAATTTAGGATTTTTACTAAAGTTTTATTAAGGTTGATCTAGGCCTAAGAATTTATTAGGATTTCATTTGGATTTGATTTAGAATTTGGTTAAGATTCATTAGGATTTCAAGTAAAGGTTCAATTAGGATTTATTTAAGATTTGACCTAGGATTTGGTTAAAATTCATTATAATTTTAATTAGGACTTTAATTTGGATTTAATTAGAAGTTGATCTAAAATTTGATTAAGATTTATTAAGATTTTAATTAGAATTAAATTAAGATTAGATTAAGATTTACTTAAGATCTATTTTAAAAAATTATTTTTAATATTTCTTTAGGATTTTATTTCTTTAAAAATTTCTATCTCTAATATTTTTTAAAGATTATCATTATTTATTTAAAATTTTATTTTTATATTTTTTTAGGATTTTTTTATTAGTTATTTTTAATATTAATTTATAATTCTTTTTTTTCTTTTATAACTTCTTTTATATTTATTTTAAATTAGTTAAAGTTTTATTGAATTATTAAAGATTAATTAAAATTTATTTTAGATTCTATTAGACTTAGTAAGATTGTTGTTGCATTTCTACTTACTTTTTATAATTAGGTACTTGGTACATTCTAAAGCAAGAATTCAACATAAATAGTGAACCTAACATGAAAGTTTGAAGCGGGAGATATTGAAGTTTGTTCATTTTTATTTTAATCTAATAGAGAATAAGAGCAATAGTTTTGAAGGAGCTATAGGAAGAGCTTCAAGTAGTGCTTCTAATAGATTTTGCACTAAAGGATAAGGTATATATACAGATCCAACCATTGCAAGTATGTTTCAAGTTTTTACATTATCTATGCAGTAACAACAAAGCAATGTTTGCAAGGAAGCTTTGGCAATCAAAGCATTGCAAACGGGAATTAATAAAATTAACCAATTTGATGGAAGACTAATTTTAAAATATTTAAGATGTTATATGTAGAAAATGGAATTAAATTGGATTTCTAAGAAGAAAATGATTGAGCTTACTATAGTACTCCAGATAAAAAAAACATGTTACATTAAATATGAAGCATTATGGAAGTTTATGGGAGATATTTTTACATGCATTAAAAGATGAATGTTTCTTAGAAGACACTAATTATATTATTAAGAAATTATTTTTAAAATGAATTGAGCGCCTAACAAGAACTTACAAGCAATAGAGCTATTAAGAAAGTTTGAAAGGTAATATTCTCAATTATTGAAGGTGGAAAATTTAACATTAAAGCCAAACAAGGTTGAATTATTTTTTCAAGATGGTAATAGAGAATTATAAGAAAAAATAGAATTGCTTCTTCAAGACAAAGAAGAAAGTAAAGGATTAATAATAAAGTGGAGAAATATTGAAGATGTTGTGGACTTGCTTGCAAAACAAGAAAAAAAGAAGGATAGGGTTAATATTTCAAGAGTAGTATAGGAACCTAAAATTCAAGTGTATAAAATACAACCAACAATACCTATTGTCCAATTTTCAACATTTGCTTCAAAAAAAGAAGATATGAGAATTGAAGAGATTATACGTAGAATATAAGATCTTCAAATCAAACTGGAAAGACTTAAAGAAAAGATTACTATAATTAATTTGAAGGCTATTTTTAAATAAAGATATTTATAAAGATATATTTTGTATGATAATACTTCTCATATTATAAAGGATTGTAATAAATTTAATGACATAGAGTGACAACAAGTTATATTTTGGAAAGATAGAAAGGTGGTATTTAAAGATATAAGAGACCTCTTTCAAAATAATTTTGATAAGGGAGGTATGAGAGCATTGATTCAAGATTATTTAATAATACATGGAATAGAAATATGAAAAAGTATAAGTTATACTATTAAGATAAATGATGACTTTGATAGAAATATAGAAACAAGTAGATTTTGGATTTTTTCTATTTTTATAATAAAAAAAAAAAAAGATACTTTAAAAAATATTATTAAAAATCGTAAGTATAATACATAGTACAACATATTGGAAAGATCCTATAGATGCTCTTTTAGTTCATGCATATATTTCTAAGAGCCAATATAAAGCCTTAATGAAAAATAAGAGAAGAAGAAATTTTGATGATATAAAAGTAGAAAATTCTTCTAAGAAACAAACTTAAAGAGACAAGGCTTGTAAGCTGATTTCATAAGAATTATTCACAAATGATACTTCAAAATATTAGTAAAAAAAACTAAAGAAATAAAAAAAGAAAAAAATTAATAACTTATTATCTACTCTTTAATATTGAAGCAGCAATAGATTTAAAGGAGGTGTTGGAAGAATGTGTACTAAATGCTAAATTGGAGTTCACATTGAAAGAGATTTTAGGAATTATGATGTTATTATTGAC